GGGGGGGGGGTGACCGGTGCTGCAAGTGGGACGGGGGGTCAGAGCTTCGTGGAGGGAAGAAAAAACTGGGGGGGGGCAGGAGAGGAAAAGGAAGAATCCCAGGCAGACAGGCAGGTGAACACACTGAGGAAGACCCCCAAACGTGAGAACCCCCCCAGAAGGAACACACCGCCCCTGGCCCCCGGGAAGGGAGCACAATGGAGGCCGCACATGCCAAGACCACAGAGGACTGTCTGGCCTATTTTGGGGTGAGTGAGACCACGGGCCTCTCCCCGGACCAAGTTAAACGGCATCTGGAGAAATACGGCCCCAATGGTAAGTATCCCTCGGAGAAGGGGCTGGTAACACCCTCCTGCACCCCCAACACACACACATAGGAATTTCTCCCTCCAAGGTATCTTAGGGAAGAGCTGGGCCGGGTCTACTGATTGCAGGGGGAAAGAGGGTACTGAGAAAATAGGGTCCCTGAGATCCAGAGTTTTGGGAGGTTTTATGGGATGACCTTGATGAACCTCAGATGCCCTTTTGGTGCCCTGATTCTCTTACCTTAGCCACAAAATCCGGGGTGTGGGCAGCATGAGGCTGAACCCCAAATGAACATGTCCTTTTCTTCTTTTCCCCTGGATAGAGCTCCCTGCTGAGGAAGGTAAGTTACTGGAATCCCTGAGGTCTCGCTTCCTCCCCTCTGTGCTCCACTCCCTTCTCCCTGCCTTCTTCTTAGACTCTTTGGGCAAATACCCCTCCCCAAAGGTTAGAGTCTAGCCGGGAGCAAAGTCTCCAGAGACTTTCTCCTTGAGGCATCCAATCCTTCAACAACAGCCCACAGCTTTGAGGAGCCTGTTTAGGGGCGCCTGGCCGAGCTCCTTCAGCCCTTCTCAGCTGCCTGCCCATCACCCTAGAATCGTCCCGGTCCCATCCGGAATTCAGGGTGCTCCAGTCCCTGGGCCCCAGCTGCGCTCCTAGTCCCAGACCTTCATCCTATAGACCTTAACCCCGGGGCCCCCCCGACCTTGCCTCTTCCCTCAGGGAAGTCCCTGTGGGAGTTGGTGATAGAGCAGTTTGAAGACCTGCTGGTGCGGATCCTTCTCCTGGCCGCCTGCATTTCCTTTGTAAGTGTGGGAGGGCATCTGGGGCTGGCTGGGGACGTGGGTGGGGGGACCGGCCGCCGGGTCCTGTAGTCCCAGCGCTGAGCATCCTATTTTACAGACCAGAGATGTGGGGTGGGCGCTGGTTCGCGTCCTCCTCTGTCCTCCGTACCCCGCAGGCAGGTTTTATTTTAAGCTTTAAAGGTGTTCTCAGCCAAAGCACTGAAGCTAAGCCGCCCTTGCAGCTTCACGGGCTTCGAGGGCTCGGGTTACCCCCCAAGCGCGGGGCTCCCTGTCCGGCTCCACCGTGGGCCGCGGCTCCAGGGCCACCACCACTCCCAGCATGCCCCGGGCGCGCGCTCCACCAATCCCCGAGCCTTCTGGCGCCCCTGCCCCGCCCTCCCCGGCCCCCCGACGCTGATTGGTCGACAGGAAGACTCGCTCGCGGAGGCGGGAAAGAGCTGCGGGTGGGGGGCGGGGGGGGA